CCAATTGTGCAAAGCAATTGAAATGGATTGGCTTAATTACAAATATTCACTTGCATCGTATTTGAATATTGCAGTGCTTTCTTCTCTAACAACATATTTATGGTATTCTTCTGCTCTCGTTTAGTGTAAATGCCATGTAATACAGATGGACAAAATTCCAATGCAGCGCGTGTTGTTTGTTTGCCAGCAACAATTGGCGGAACGAGTGTTTCTTTTTAAGGTGCAAAGGAGTCCAACAAGCTCTTTTAATCCCGGCTATTCCATTGTCTTTGCTTCAACGCCTTTAGATACACGTAGTCGCAGTAAAAGCAACAGCGTCTCTAATTACACTTTACCTATCCCTTCACATCAGCTGCTGTGAAATTACTTGACAATGATAACACGAGTGCGATGAGGTCTTACTATCCCCATGGTATTGTGACTTATAATGACAAGACTTCTAATTTAGTGCCTACTTATTCACGAAATTATTTCTGTAAATGATTAAATAAATAGGCAAACTGGCAAACGTCCGCCCTTTTAGCCACAAGTGAGCACCACCTCTGTCGTCATTACCCCCACTGCCATCAATCGCGTGAATCTTTCAGTTTGACGGTGGTGGCGAAGTGTGTTTTCCCCGCACCCCGTAGGTTGCACGCACCTTCCCCTATTCCCACACTTTACCTTATTTCATCTTCCCTCTTAATTGCCTTCCTTCCTTCATGTCTTCTTTACTCTCCCTAGAGTCTAACCTGTTTGTGCAAGGAAGAGGATTTTCCGACTCGTCTGCTGTTTCCCCTATTAACAATTGCCTTGTTATTTCATCTCCTATAATATGATAATATATAATATGCGTATAAAGTAGCGGTTGAACATCTGCTTTTTCTTTGCTTCTGGGTGGGCTCATGTGGAAGCTCATTATATTAGCATCGGTGGTGGCAAGTGGGTGTTTCATCGCCTACTGTTTTGAAGGTGAGCATTAAAATTGACAAGAAAACCCCGTATTTACCGCTCATATATTGATGCACAATTAACCATATCCTCTGTCTCACTAGCGTCGATGTGGCATGCAACGACTTGTTATTTAAAAGAGGGGAATTAACCTAGAAATGTTCCAGACAATGCTATTTAGTCTTCCACGGTTTGTTCTATATTTCTGCGGAATACCTTCTGCTATGTCTAATGTCTTAGCCATTCCGCTTGTTACCTGTTTAACTTTCCTTTTGCTCACTAGTGTGGAGTCTTTAAAACGAATCTGCTGCTACTTTTGACGATAAAATGTCGCGAGTTACGAAGAGGTCAGCAATGTGTGAAAAAGTGACGGGTGATGTCAGTTGATGTTTTATATAACAGAAAACAACCTTAATAAGTGATGGAAAGAGGCGTTTAGCTCGCGTTAACTAACGGCCTCAGACATGAAATTAGCTCTGTCAGCAGTCCAATGATGCAACAATTGAACATGCCTTTAATCACCATACATAGACTACTTTTCAGTTTTCAAACTCCTGCCTGTAGACATATGACTGTTTGATCGTAATGATTGTATGATCTTAATGATAGAAACCGACATCATCACTATATCAGTACGTACTTAAGGTCAGCGTTGGAGAGAAAATAGCACAAAATTAACATTTATGACCTGCACAGTTCGTCCTACAAAGTATCGAAGTGTGTTCTCGCACTTGGTCGAAACTTGGTATGACAATTGAAATAAAACCTTATTTCCTTAACGAACTCAAATGCAACTACCTGTATTATATGTAGAGTCCCGGGACTCCCTGAAGAAGAAAGAAGACGAAATACTGGGGCAGAATATATGTATTCAGAGCAGAGAAGGTGTCTGGGCTATTGGCATGGCCTGAAAGGCCAGCCCACTTAGCGAGGTACAAGGGGGCTCATTAAAGGTAACAAAGTGGTGCTTCACCAATGCCGAGGGATAAACAATCATCGCCTCCATCCTCTTTTGAGCGTCGTCCCCGGCGCTCCCACAGGTCAACCTCCCGCGTCAGCCATTACAACGTAGTCGGTGCAGTAAAGTAACATCCACAAGCCGACCGTGCCAGTCACCAAATTAGCGTGCAACTGAGGGGGTACTTGACCTCAACCTCACTGATCCCTCTTGGCGGCTTGACTGGATCTGGAGTTTCGTTCGGTTTAGGGATTTAATTCAGGATGGTAGGGGAAATCCGTAATGAAACTTTCAGATGGTTCACGGCTAGTGTTGTTTCAGTTGTTAATAGCTTTTCTGCAGAACACGGGACTGGGAGAGATGCCGAAGGTAGACGTCAACATCAACCCTTCTGTTAGGGGCCAGCACCATTCTCCCACCCGTAGCATATGTACTTCTTCCGCCCCACTAAGGCTTATCACGCAGAAGTGGAAAATCGGGATACATGTCCTGAAAGATCGGGTTCGCTTTCCGCTGCCACCAATGTAGCGTCCTGAGACTCCCAGAAGACGAAAGAAGACAAAATGCTCGGGCAGAATATGTATTTAGCGCAGAGAAGGTGTCTGGGCTATTGGCATGGCCTGAAAGGCCAGCCCACCCAGCAAGGTACAAGGGGGCTAATTCAAAGTCCCAAAAGT